TAATATTATATTAACATTAAACAATTAAAATTTATTGAATAATCAGTTTTTTTGAATAAAATATTCTTAAAAAAAATTCTCAAAATTTCAAAGTAAACGCGTTTTCCATTTTTATGTTTTCGGAAACAGTTTTTCAGAATGGGAAAGAGAACGCATTTTCAGAAATTCCAAAACGGACACTCAAAACACAAAATTGAAACACAAAGAGAACGGCTCCTAAGTTTCTACCCTAGTTTTCAATTAACACTAACTTCAATAGAATATAAACACATAATATAACAACGTAAATTAAATGACTAATCTAATTAATTGAATAAATACCACAATTTGAAAATATTTATTTGACTTGAAGTTATTTCTAATTTATTTAATAATATTTTTCGAATAGAATTAGATCTATCCTCATGTATAACCCGTTAATATCCCTATCTCGCATGCGAACATGGAAATATGCATTAAATTACAAGAATGTTTATATGAATTAAGCAAAGCATAGAAAATTATCCCTAACGTTTATAGGATCTTACAATGATTGCTACTTGTGCTAAATTTTTATTTATACTCCCTAACATAAATGAGAATCATACATAAATTCAATTAGTAACCAATTATTTTAGAAGCATTAAACTCCTTATAACCATTCAAAGGAAACAAATATTTAAATGTGAAAATCTGTAATTTAATATCAAGATATCAAAACATAGAATTCAACATTATTCTAACATCTATACAACTAGTCAAGCATCATAAGAATATAATAACACCAACTTTATAGATACGAAATTGAAAGTTGAGAAGAAAGATGGAAGAAATTACGTCTTGAAGCTTTGTTCTTGAATTATTATCTTCTTTGACATCTTCTTCTTCTTAAACTCGAAACTATGTTTAAGATTATTTCGATCCTTGCTAAACCCTTGAAATAACGCTAAGCAAAGAAAGACATCTCATGATCAAAAACTTGCTGCGATTCTATCTCACAAGTTGATGGTATTGTATGGAAGTAATAAAGGATAAGTATAATAATATCATCCCATGAAAATTGATTATTGATCACACTTCAATTAAAACTAAACCCTAACAAGGTCACACATGTTCCATAAGTTGGTTTTGAGATTATATTTTTCTAACTAACAACTAAAATAAGAAATTTAGCCCCTGTTTGGTAAAGATATCTTAATAATAGAGTTTGTTAAAAACGATTTTTTTGGAGAATTTTGATTAAAAAGTAGAAAAAATTATAGGTCTACATGCAAAATTACTTTATTAGGAGAATGTGTGGTTGAAAACTAATTTTATAAATGAGGAACACACATGATCTCTAAGATACCCAACGAACTTCAAATTTGGATCTCCAATAATTACCTGAGTCTTCAAATTTTATTTATTTATTTTTCTGCAATCAGCTATATGTATATGGTTATTTACATTAAATTTGACATTATCTCACATAACATCCATTATAGCCATTGATTTTTAAAACACCTTATCACATCACTGGCCATATTTTGACAGAAATGGGAAAATGTAAAAAATTGTACATATAGTTTAATTTTATTTGTTTATTTATTTAGTGTGTGTTTNAATTGGTACCAAATATAGCCTTATTTATTGCTGTGTGTTTTTAAATGATCTCTAAGATGTGGTCCCTGAACTTTTAGTTTCATAGATTTTAACCCTCCAGCATCCTATTTCGTCCTGTACCTTTGGTTCTTCCTCCATTTTAGCCCTCAAACTTCTAATCTCTTCAAGTTTGGTACTTCAACTTTTCAAAGCTTCCATTCAAGTCCCCCAAAGTTGTGAAATCTTCCATATAATTTTTAATTCTATCCAATTGAGTCCCAATACTTTCGTCATTCACCCAACACCATCTGTTTGCCCAATTAATATCCCAAATCACTTCATTTTGCTTTATTCGTCTTTAAATTGGAGATTTAGCCTACAATAGTCAAATACAACATAAGATGAATAAAAATGTTACTCAATTGACCTAATTTTAAGCTAATTCAGGAGTCTAAATAAGCATTTAAAATACACGTATCAATGACCAATGGAGTTTGATCTTAAGACCATCATTCCCCCACTTGCTAATTAACTTGCATTAACTCTTTTATCATTCAAATTTTTATTGTTGAAGGCAAGTCTTCCCATCTCCATTTTGAACAAGAGAATTAGCATGAACACAAAAAATGGCAAGCTACAACTCCCTGCCATGGTTCATGTAACAACTACCTCATTAACCCTTGCAATGCTCTTCACCCTATGTGTCAAAGCTTATAGTTGATTATTAATAGTGGCCAGGTCTCAAAGAATATGTAATTAAAAAGTAGGTAAAAGTTATGGGTCTGTCGAAATGTGTGGATAAAAATAAAATTTGACCACCTTGTAATTAATTATAAACTTTGAGAAACGTGGACTTTATTTTACTTCTATTAGTTAAATTATATTCAACAAAACCTTACTTAAATGTGGAATTCTATGATGTAAATAGTAACCCCGCTTGCTACCATATGAAGAACTCATTTGGTAAAAAACACTATCAAATTGGACTACTTTCATCCACCACAACCTAGATACCTAATTTGAAGAAGATTATATGCAAAAACAAGGATTTCAAGCCTACTCCACCTTAGGTCATTTTTGCACCAATTTCAATGCACGTTTTGTAGTTTCTCTCTCTCTCTCTTTCAACATATGTATGGGATGGAGGATAGAAGTTTTGGGCTTGTATTAGGAGATTTACTTGTGATAAAAAATTCAGACGGTAACTTCTTCTACCAAACTAACTTCATAGCAATGGGCCACTAGTTTTCAACGTACTCAAACTAACTTTCGACTACTTTGATTTCATATATCATTAGATAATATATTACAAAAACATGTAAGGTCAAGATATTTAACATTTTTCTATTACACAGGTAGATTTGCGCCTTGTACTTGACGCGAATGTCGACTAGAACCTATTAGTGAGGAGCTGTATTTGTTTGAGAAGAGGACTCAGAGTTTCCATCAGCTTCTCACATGGATGGTTGTGGATTCCTTCGTACGTTGTCACAACAATGCTCCTGTCCTTGGTCAGCCGTTGGACTTGTTTCTTCACGCTGCACGTGAGATGTGTGCATCGGTAGTAGCTCCTTCGTGTGCAAGATGAAAATATAAGAATCAAAAGAAGTTCAAATCCAAAACATACATAATTTATGGATTGAGATAAAATGTACATAATTGACTATCGGATAAGTATATACAGTTTTTGTATGTACATATGTGATGGTTCGCATAGAAATTTTGGAATTATGGGACCCTATATTCGATGTGTCTATGTCCATGTATCAACAAAAATTAACTGAATTGTCAAAATGATAAATTGTTAGAACCATTGAGTTGTTCATTTATTATTATTATTATTATTATTTGTGTTTATTTGTTGATTATTTTTAAACAAACGAGTTGTTACAATCATATCTGAAAAGAAAACATATAAGCTTATTAAGAAATCAACTATACTTTCATAATTTCGTATAAACGTTATTACAACAATATATAATCCCACCTAAATAAAAGATATAGAAGAAAATTTAAAGAAATTAGAAATGGATAAATTGTAAATTCGTATTTGTTTTTTAACTCACGGTGATCAAAATATATTGCGATAAAGAAACCTCAAAAATGTTTTCGTAATTTTTGAAAAAAAAAAAATGATAACTTCGTAATAGCCCGTTGCCTAGTATATCTTTATAATTTGCTTTACAACATATAACAATTTTTTTTTATAACCGTGGATGTTCGGGCCAGTTTGAACGCACCTAGACTAATTTCACGGGGCCTAAAGTTTACGGCCGGGTACTCAACTCAGTGGCCCTAAGGGGACTCGAACTGGTGACCATTGGGGAGCAAAACCCAAGTCCTGACCAATTGAGCAACCCCTCAAGGTTAACATATAACAATTTAACTTGAATATGTATTCACTTTTTCATTTTGTTGAACTATATTTCTCTTGATAATCTATTTCCTTGAATTTCGATTATCCAATATTCTAACATAAGCTATTTGATGAAAAATTATGCATAAACTGAAATGGTAATTTTAAAAAATTCTATTAAAAATTGTAAAAAGTATATCTTCACGGCAAGAAAATTATACGTAATATAAGAAAAGTTAGTCATGCAAGATGAAAAGATCAATAAAATCACCTTGGAAACTTGCTATTTTTGACAGATTTTTGGCCATATTTTCTCCAACGATAGCCATCATCAAGTATATCTTCTTCACTCTTGGTTTGAAAGGCAAATCTTGGAATGGTGGATTTTCTATTCCTGCCTCTTCCACCTATTCTTTTATCCTTAATATTGTCTTCATCAGCAAATTTGGCGATATTTTGATCAGATGTTTCGGCGGCAGCATATTGTTCCAACATATGATTTTGATTATAATTACAAGACATTAAGCTTTCCAAATTCGTGTTTGGGAGAAGGGTCGGTTGAATAGGTGCGAAAAGATAAGTTGGGCTCGTAGGCCGCGCAGGAGGTGGCAGTAGTGGTGGCGGAGCTTCTTGTTCTTCCATAATGGAGAGATCCTCAAAAATATTTTAGACGAAGATAATGGAAGTCTTTGGGATGTATTTATACTGTTTAAAAATGGTGCGGTACGCTCACCAACACACAGTCTGTGTTTGTGTATGAGAGAGAGAGAGAGATTTGGTCATAGAGGAAGAGTGTTACATCTGTTGTACGTGCAGTAAACTCAGGCCAACTAAAATTCAACTAATTTCTGTTCAACTGCCCCCACAAAAACATACGATGATCAAAACGTGCATGCCCTTGTTAGCTCTCGTTATTTACTATGCACTTTTAATTATGGGAAAATTACCTAAAACCGTGCAATTAAAGATTAGTTTTCATAAATAAGGGTGTTAAGTTTAAAATTCAGATTTCAGGCGGTAAATAGAATTATTAATTGTAAATAATAAAAATTTAATTAAATTTTAATTTGCATAATGACCCACCACCCCGATTAATCCCAAAACCAACCCTCCACTCTATATTTCTCTCCATAGTTCATTCTCTATGTCTTTCTCTCTTCCATCACTCCACATTTTTCTCTCTCTCTCTACCACCACTCTACCCACCCCCACCTAACCCCTAGGGCGAGCAGAACTGTCGAAGAAAGCCAATGCACGCATCAGTTCTACACAAGGTGGAACAAAACCAAAGTCGGTATCTTTTTTGGCGTCGTTGCACGTGACGGAGCACGACGGTAGGCACTGATAGGGGTAGCGATGATATGTCACAATTGCTGATAAAGCAGATCACAAGTCGACCATCAATAAGTTGATCTCGATTCAACATACATTTGATGTCGAAAACGCAGTGACGTAAGCAAATCGCAGTTTGACTACCAATGTCGGTAGAGCAGATCATGAATTGACCACTGATACGAGCAACACCTTAATGCAACAGTCGCGACGAACTGGAGTTGTTGGTTCTGATCTGTAACTAGATCTAATGGTTGGTGGTAGTGGTTATGCAATCGGCACCACTGTAGAGTAATAAAGCAGCAACCGGAGTTGTTAGCGCCGACGAACCTTTTCTGATTTGTGGGTGGTTTTTTGAGCTATGGGTGGTTCGTTTGTGGTCGAGGTGGTGGCGACATGGACTTACAGCGCATGGTGAGGCGTACCCTCAGCGCGTGGTGAGGCGTACCCTCTACTCACCAACCTTTACGCATTATGAGGTGAATTTCCCGATATCAGAGGATCTAGATATAGTCCCGGACCTGTTCGACGCACAAATAGGAAGTGTGGAAGAGATGGGATCAGAGGATGATCTATGTTTCTACTTATATAAATATGGAGAAGCTCAATAGTGGATATGGATTTGAGATTAATGACTCTGTTTTCGACTATGTGGGAACTAGAAGTGGTGGTTATAGTGCTGGGGTGTCAATTGACGAAGACGAAGAGTTGAGTGGTAATGGTACTACTTCGCCGAGGCATAGGTATATTAACTCGGAGGATAGTTTAAGTCTTGTATTTTCTGAAATTGTTGGTGGTGGTTCTATTTGTGGTGTGATGTTGGTGGTGGTGGTAGTCGTGGTTGGTGTTTGTCGAAGGTGTTGGTGGAAGAGATGGTGATGGTGATTGTTGTTGTGAATTTGAGGTGAGGGTAGAGTTTAGTTGAAGGTGGTAGTGGTGGTACATTAGAGTGGTGATTGGCAGTGGATTGTGGTGTTAATCTTTAGTGTGTGCAGATTTGTTTGTATTGACCCTATGTGACCATGTGTTTATTGTGACCGGGTGTGACCAATTTTGTTTTCGTTGTAATTGTTTGTGATCAGATTAATAATGAGTCACAAATTAGACTAATCTGGTCACAAAAAGTCACAATGAATACAAATTTGATCACAATTAGTCATGGATAACACATGTCTACGACTTGGTTACATACAGTAACAAATTACACTGACATGGTCATAGACGATCTGATCACAATTAATCACAGATAACATAAGTATGGTTACAAACAATAAATTTAGTCACATATAACATAGTTAGTCACAAATCTCGTCAACTACAATGCAACACACTACCTCCACATAGTACTCAAAACGTTACTACCACTACCACCATAACCATCAAACAGATCAACTGCAATGCACTTTCATCACCTGCAATGCATTATCACCGCCATCACATAGATCTATTTTCTAAACACGGTGTCATCTCATCACCACCACCACCTGTAAAGTTATTTGTGTTTATGTGTGTATATATATATATATTTGAATTTTGGAGATTTCTAGGGTAGGATAGGGTGGGGTGGGGTGTGATATAATGTATGTCAATTTTGTGTGTGTATGTCTGTGTATTATTAATTGGAATTAACACATGAATTTTGAAATGATTTAACAAGTTTGTTAATTTTGAAATGTAATTCTTATATGTAAGAGTTATATATTGTTCCCTTTAATTATATATATACAGAACTGTTCCTCCTACTCATAAATTTGACACACTTATTTGTCAAGTAATTGTGACATTTAATTTAAATCAATCTAACGCTCAATATATATAAGATATCCTAAGTCCAGATGCTCTTATTGACTCCGGCCAAACACTTTTTCTCCCTGGTTGAGCTTTCTAGCCATAGAAAGGATTTCGGAGACCCACCAAAGTATGAAAGCTAAGGGGATGTTCACTTAAAATAGGTAAGTAAATGGGTTTTCAATGTTTTTGAAAACTAAAAATGGTTTGAAAACAACAAAAAGAACAAGCCCTGAGATCTTTCAGAAAACAAATTCATTCAATATTTTCGAAAACTCTTGCTATATATATATATCCACCAAAGTACGAAAGCTAAGATCTTTCAAAAAACGGATTCATTCAATTTTTTCGAAAACTCTAGCTACACACACAAACCGCCAAATCTGTAGTCACAATCAAAATATATCTTCTATATATAAAGTGGCTATGTAACGAAAATTCTTGTTCCACTTTTTCTGCCGTTAACTTTAACGGATTCCGTTAAGTAGCAATTAAGCCACATCATTGATGTTTGTCCGTTAGAATTCTATTAGGGTACCGCTATTTTCATCCACATTTTTTATATATACATC